CTTTTAATATTACATATAAATATTTAGAGAAAAAACACACGCGTTTACTATATTCTAAATTTGGTTAAAATAGAATTTAATGAAAACCATTAACATCAATTTATTTTGATTACATTAATTATTAATCGATTATGGCAAGTATGGTTTTAATTAGCATGTGTTTAGCATAAGCTGTTATTGTACATCTTATTAATGATGCACTGAATTTTTTCCTTTACTTTAAAATATACAATATTGGCAATCATAATACTTTTGAAATATATAGATAATAGATTAACCTACTTGATAATTTCCAATTAAATTTTAAACAGTACATGAATTATTTTAGTACAAGCAAGACGATCTTTACTAAGACGAGTGAAACTAATAAAGCTCCAAATTTTTATATACCTTTATATAATTTTAGAACACCTTTAAAATCGAATCTGATAATTTAATACGTAAAATTCTTATGATCTTCAAAGTCACGTATATTAAAAATTCTCAATATTGTAAAAAATTCATAATAAAATATAGGCAAATATAACCAAACTCATATTATATATGAGTAAATGAGGAATAAAATAAGAGAATAACTGAAAAGTTACACATGTGCTGTCACAACATAATGGGCATTATTATGACAATTTTAGAAATGGCAGTAAAACAAAACTTAAAAATATTTTATGCTTTATTATTATATTGTGTTCCAGCAGGTTTCTTTTTAACATATTTAAATATTCAATAAAAATTTTCTGATTCATTCTAATTTCTTTCCTGAATTTCTCCCGTACAAGTTTATATAATATATTCTCTATATTATTATATATTTTTGAAGTTTATGGTTAAAACGTGTATTATTATTAATTCCTTATTTTCATATCCCTTAACACTTTTTCTTTAAAATTGCTCTTTTAAAAGAAAATATACACAATAAAAAAATATTAACTTTGATTTTCTCATTCTTTCTTACTTTAATGAAAAATTCTCTTATGAGTATTTTAATATTATAATAATGATTGTATTTTATGTCATTAAAATGAGAATAATTTACTCTATTTTAAAAGAAAATAAGAGTTATATTGACATTATTATAACATTTAATGTTTATATGGCTCAACAGAGCTCTCTCTACTCTTATTTTTTTTTTTTGCAAAACCGAAAAATAATGGTCGTTATAAAAATGATCTTGAATATTTGATTATAAAATTGGTATACAATACAGAAATGATTTAGAATTATTAGAAAGGGAGTTTCTAACCTTTCTAACCTGCACAAACAAATATATTAACATAAATTTACAATTTATGGCACAAACATCTTCATACAATAATTTAATGTGTGCAAACATATTCAAAAATTTCATATCATTCAAGTTAATTTCAAACATTTGAGACTACATATACTTTAAGAAGAATTTCTTTTAAAAAATTTAATAAACTACCTACTGGAATTGCAGTATCAACATGCCTACTGAAATTATAATGTTTTCTTCCCGAAATTTCCTTTTTAAAGTTGTTATTTAAAAGAATTAAAATGAAAAAAGAAATACGTATATAAAGCCTTGAGCATCAAATAATTAAATTTTAACGCCTACTCAATGATATTTTAATTTTAAGGAAATATACTTTTATATATTACGCATTTTTTTTTTTCTTAAATTTCAAGAATTGATCTTGAACTGGAAGGTTTTAATTTTAAATATAAAAATTTTTATTTTATAATGTCATTTAAAATTTTGGGGTTACTTTTAAAAACAAATTTCTTATTATATTTTCTTTTATGTATGCTCGGGTTACAAAATATTTTTTCTACAAATTAATTTCTATACATACTGTGCTTAAATATTGGGTAATGAGTTAATAAAATTATTTTGTTGGAATTACCAGGTTATTATAAAATTATGACGGCATACTATAAAACTTAATCTCTAATTTTGTCATTATTAAAATTGACTCAAAACAGAAATAATTTTACAAAAAATTTAAAACAAAATTTCTTACCCACTTCCATTTTAGTATTTTATTTAAATTACAGTTGATTTAATTCTAGAAAGCAACCATTAATATCTTCTTATTTATAATCCCAATAGCATTAAACTAAAAAAATAATACGACAGCGAGATTTTAAAAAAAATAAAATTCAAAATTCTCACTTTGTTGTATGGTGCTTATTATATTGGCATTTCACCACATCTCTCAAACCATTTCAACTAATAAATAATTTTGATTCAATCAAAAGTATCAGTCCTTTTCGGTAGCACAAGAAAACTTCAATTAAACAGCAATTAAAATTCCATTTTATTTTGTTCCAAGAGAAATATTTTCGGTCTTTTTTAGCTTGCCGGGGTGTTCAAGAGAAAATGCTGTTTAAAGCATCAAAATAACTTGTACCTTGTTTTAATTGACTCTTGGTTCAGGAAATATTCTCACAAATTTTGCCACAATTTTCTTTCATTTTCCAGAGAACTTTTGCCATGTCTCATAAAAATATTATTTTACACCTTTTATTTACTTTTTCTTAATCAATTTGAATATAAAATAAATTTAAAACAATATCCAAAAACTCAAAAAAAAAAAAATTTTTGACAAATGTTTTTGAAATTTTCGATTTCAATTTTGACAAATTTTTCTTAAAAAAAAAAAATAAAAACTTCAACAAAATCATATTCCAAAACATTTCTTTTTAAATTCAACTCACATTATTTACAACAATGTATCGATGATAATGATGATGATTGCAAAAAAAAATTTAATACAACAAGAATAACAGATGACGCCATACAAGACGTAACGGGAAGAAGAAATGAAATGAAAACAAATTTATTTAAACGCGCCATCTACAGTATACCATAATATTCATTGGAAATTTTGAAGAACAAAAAATTGAAAAAGAATTTTGTATAAAATTCAAGGTTAAATAATAATAAAGAATATATAAACAAAAAGAAAGGAAAAATTCTCAAAATAAATGAAACAATTTATGTGTCATACAACCACATTCATATAATCATACACAAACACTTAGTTAACTTTTGTGCTCATAACTTATGCTCATACAAATTTTGTGCACATGGATATATGAAATTTTTTTTTGGAAAAACTTTTTTCTTTTAAATTACCTTTGAATTTTTTGTTTTTCTTTAATTTTTTTTTTCTCATATTTTGCAAATTTTTATAAAAACAAAATATTTTTTTTCACATATTTTTAAAAGTTTAATTGGAATACATAAATTTTATACAAAAAACAAAAGGTAACCCTTAATGAAAAATTTTAATCCCCATACATTCGGATTATTTAAAAATTTTTGAAATTTATCTCAATTCATTATAGATACTTTAAATTTTGTATAATAGATCATATATACTTAAATTTCAAACAGAGCTTTGATTTTGTTACTACTAACGCTACTAACAGGCGATATTTTAAGAAAAGATGCGACTGTTAAAGGTTAAATATAATATCCAAGTAAAAAAGGGTTAATCTTATTCAATCAAGAGGGTAGATTGCTGATTACAGAGTTAAATAAGAACAAAAATCCTCCTCTCTGCAGCCAGCCATGACTTACTGTAGCCCTCCCATAACTATAGTACTCCGGCCCACAGCAAATATCCGAAGATATCCCTCAAGGTCTTGGTTGTGAGCTTCCCAACAATTAAAAGCTTCGCCCAAATCATCTGCATATTCTGATTGCCAGGGTAGGATGACAGTCACACAGAATATACATATATGGCCGCCTCCTCATGGTGAAGAACAATTTTCAACTTACCTCCCTTAAAAATGAGTTCTAAAGAAATTATTAATTATTATCTCTATAAATAAATTTTGATAAATTATTTTTTAACTTAAATAAATATAAATTAATTTCTAGATATAATTAATTAGAATATTCTCAATAAACTTATATAATTTATTTCAGAATAAATTTCCAATTATTCAAGATTTTCTAACTTTTACAAAATTTTTAAAATAATAAATTTTTGTATGTATACTCTAACCTGATATGAACTTTTTATAAATTTCTTTTAAAATATTGAAGTTATTCAACTATAAATAGTTCGTATAATAAATCTATTGGTATACTTTAATAGTGTCATATACATATTATGTGAAAGAAAAGTTATTAAATCCAAGTATGAACTCCTTTATTGTATATATATCAAATACTTACGAGTATGTATCAAAAATTGTATTATTTAATCGAAACAATCGCAATAAACGGCATAATTATAGGAGAAAGATAAAGCAAATATTAAATAAGTCTTAGGTATGAGCGATTATCTGCTATTATTGGAACCAAGGACTGGGACTAAACTTATAACAGATAATGTTTTAATATGACATTAGTCAATTAGTCAATTAGACAAAATATATACTGCACCTCCGTAAAGATTTGTGTGAACTTGTATATATAATCTTGTTCAGCGTAAAATTCTGCGTTGACTTAAACATGTTCGTCTGTAAATAAGAGATTTTGTATAGGTGTGTCCAATTACATTCTAAATTATGTTCGAAAAATTTTAATGGAATGACTGAATTGGTTTGGGTAGCTACCATATAGCTCCAAAAGCTAATTTTATATATTCAGAAAAATAATAAAGTTAGATTCATGAGACTTGATAGTTCCCGTTTTCAATTATTGTTTTATTCAACGGTTTTTTCAATGGTTTGGCAGATTCTAGTAACTTCCATACCACTATGAAAGCTAATACTAAAAATTTCTAAAATAAATTTTTATATTCAGATTGTCAAGTACGCAGGGTATAATTCAATTAGTTTAGACCGACTAAAACGTTTATAAGATAATTTATTTCACAAATATCCTCATTACAATTTTTATGAAAATATAACTGAAATAATAAATCAATCATAAATTTTTTTTCTTAAATATGAAATTTTTTAATAATTTCTTAATTAATTATTAATGAAATCTTAATTTGCTAATCGTCATAAAATTTATTATTTATAATTAAAATTTTTTTTTACAAAAATTACAATTTTATTTTATTTTCTAATTATAGCCAGTGACGATAGGAGACGTGCTGCACGTCGTGAAGATCCAAGACGTCATACATTGGGTGCTGATATGTTACAATATGGTGGAGGTGGTATGCCTGGTGGTGGTGTTATTATGCAACAAGCTGGTCAACAACAGCAACAGAGAGCAATGGATTTGGAGGTAAAAAAATTAAAATATGTAAATATGCCATCAGCATATGTTTAAGAACAATTTTCCTTTTTTTTTTTTTTTAAATTCTTTAATTTCAATTATAAATGTTTAAAATATTTTTAAAAAATAATATTTAATTTAATTCAAGATAATTTAATTATATAAAATTTAAATGACAAAATCAACAGAATTTTTTGTTAAAACAAAGAAAAAATATTGTATAAATTAAAAAAAAAAATATTTTTTGTAATCAAAATATAAATATTTTTAATAATTTGCTTTGCAAAAACAAAAACAACATTTATAAATATTAAGAAATTATTACAAAATTCAAATATATATATATATTTATACATACATATACTTACTTTTATATTTTTACCACAAAAATTTATTAATAAAAAGCAAACGTAGCTCTAGGATTAATAATTGTTTTTATTTTTTAATTTTTTTAAATTTTTATTTTATTTAAAAAAAAAATTTTTTTTAAATTAATTTTCTCTCGAATTGTACACTTTTAATTACATTATAAAAGGTGACTTAATTAATAAATAAAATTTATTTAACATGAAAATTTTTTGATAACATTACAGATATTTTTTTTAATTACAGTGAAACTTTATATTTTTTAATTTTATGTAATTGAAATAATTAATTAGGAAAAAAAAATTTTTGTTTTAATTGAATTCTAAAGGCTTATAAATTTAAAAATCAAATTAATTAATTTTATTTATTATATTTTTATAAATTGATTTTATTTCGAATTATTAACAATTTGTAAGGTGAAATTATTGAGTAGCTTATCGTGGTTTTGTAGTTTCATAGAAATAATTAAATATTTTGAGATTCAAAATGTAATTATAAGAGAACAGAAATTTTATTAAAAGTTAAATGGCATAATAAATTCCGAGATGCCAGAAATTTTAATGCCAGTGTGTTAAACGAACGAGTCACACATTTTCTTTATAAAATCAATTTTACAAGAATTTTATATTAATTGAATTAAATCCCATAAGTAGATTTTCAATTAAGAACAAAATAACAAACTATTTCAATATCAATTCAACAAAATCACAAAAACAATTCAGAATATTTGGTATACATATTTTAAAATATATAAGTGAAAATCTTAATATGATGTTCTACATAGCCGGCACTATATAATTTTTACAATTGCGAGAATATTTTAAAATTTTAGAATTCTAATGTGACGAATTCATAATATACAATAAAACGATTTTTGTTTTAAGTACCCTGACACCAGAATTTTAATAATACCGTATCGGTACATAATTCACCAATTAGCATTTATTTTCTGAATTCAGTATTATTACAGTGCTATTAAAACTTCAATCCCAGGGATTCTAAAAAACATAACATTCTCATTTTCATTTCACTCGAATTTCAGTAACATTACGATTATAACAGTTGCATAACAGTAATATTACGTTTAAAATGAAAATTTATAAATAAATTATTATCATGTAATTAAAAAAATTCATAAAAATTCAAGAAATTAATCTAATACTATACAATTAATTTAATATGCTCCTAATAATTTAAGATTTTTCGTAAATCAAATTACTTAAATAAATATGTATGTAATTGTAAAAGGAGATTTTACTGTTCTCTTTAATTTTTAATTCAAAAAGCATCACATTTTCCCAAACATATATGTATGTAATTAACATTTATATCGCATTAAAGTAACCAAATCCATTAGTACAATATTTGCAACGCTTTAACATGTCATTAAATGAGAAGCAAAAAAAAATTAATGTTTTTTAAAGGGGGTTATGCAATAATGATTATGCTATGAAATTAAAAAAAATATCGCAATTTTTTTTTTTTTAATTTATAGCTTTGCAATCTAAGTTACTAGTTTATAAACTAGAAATAGTTGTCAAGCATTAAAATTATTTTTGTACAATTTTTATTTTTCTATTTCTTCTAAGTGCATAAATTTTGAGAAGCACGTTATTATGGTTCTACTTTTTTTTTCTGTGTGAATATGAGAAATTTTTTTTTTCTCAATAATTTTTGGTCATTGGCTTTTGAAATTTTTTTATATATTTTCCTACGATTTTTTGTATATCAATTATTTTATTTGATATATCAAAATGCTATTCATTGCTTCTATATATAAATTGATTGATGCAATATTCAATTCCATGTAATTTTTTTTTATCTAAATATTATTAATTAAGAAGTGGATATAATATGGTTGATAAATTCGACATGTTGCTAAACTATATACTTAAATTGTTAATTACTTGATAAACTTGTTATTTCCTCACTAGGAATAGGAAGTAATCAAATTTTGTTTTATTACGTTTACTATTTTTAGATGATTTAATTCAATATATTTTTATAGTGTAGACTTATGGATATTGAAATATTCAAGTAGAATTTCTCAATTGAATTTATATTTTAAAATATTTTGATATAAAATTATTGTGTAATCGTTTAAAAACGAATTTGTATAAATCACTTAATAAATTTTATTAAAATAGAAGTGATTTGTTTATTAAAAATCACTTTTTTTTTTAAATTTTTTTGTATTACAAATTTATTTACGACTGAAGATTATAATAATGTGAATAAGCTTTATTCATTTATGTGCTCTTAAGATAATTTTCTAGAAATTTATAAATTATTTTCTAATTTTCTATCATAATTCTGTGATAAAAGAATCTTTCAACAAATGTAATTCTATCTTATTTTCTATATTAGTGAAAATAATATTATTCAATATTTTATATTCCAATTTATTAATCCTGAATGCAATTAAAAAAAATATCATTCTCAATTTTGTATTTGTCTTAAAATTGTCAATATGACCTATTTAAAAGCATTCCTAAATATACTCGTACACTATATAACACTTCAAATTAAACTATACAAAAAGTATCAAGTTAAAATTGTTTACGTACTGTTACGCTCTTTTATTTCAATACAAAATTTAATATATTTATTAGAAAAATAAATGCCAAAGTCCTTAATATTCAAAATTTATGAATTAATTTTTATTCCCGTATGTAACAGATTATTTCGTAGAGAGATATTTCCCTCTTAGAAAAGAACTCTTAGATACTAATTTTTTAATTTTTCCTGATTATTTTTATTAATTCGATCTGATCATCACTTAAAATTAATTTATAAATTTATGTGAAAAATTGCAATGTCCTATTCTAAGGCTTGTTAATTTAACTGATTTTTGCTTCGATAAATAATTTAATATTTTTCCATTCAATTATATTTGATTTAATATTTTTTAGTGTGCTATTTTGAATACTTAATCATTCTTCGTTTCAGAAATTTTTAATTACTTTGTTTATTATTAATTGTCCGTAATTTGTGTAAACAGAATTGTAAGTCTCATATCTACTAGTTCTTGAATAAATTTTTTTTCCATAAACATTCACTTCTTCAATTTCGTGAATACCAATGTGACTTGGAATCCACATAAAAAGTAAATTTTTGTTTTAAATTCGTATATAATATTATTTTTCAACTAAATTATTATTATTGGGTAATTTAAGTTTTATTAATTATAATCTTCATAATTAATTATCATAATATAATTATTATCAATAAATTTTCCCGTGGTGCTATAGCATTAAAATATTAATTAATTAAATTTAAAATTATCAATTATCCATTATTATGCTTAATAAATTATCAAAAAAAAAATTTTTATACTCGTATAAATCAATACATTATTGAAATTGATGTACATACGGTGTTCTAAGTAATTAAAAAAAAAAAAAAATTCGAGTGAAAATTAATTTTAAAAATTTTATTTTAATTTTTTTTTTTTCCTTGTATATTTTTAAAATACTAACAAAAAAAAACATTCAAATCATATGCAAATTTTTGTGTAAAAGAAAATCAATTTAAAAATTATTAGGAAAAAAATAAAAGATTTTTCTTTTAATAAAATTAAATTTTCTTTTATATTTTTTATTATTCTTTTTTTTTTATTTTATATAATAAATACAAACATAATATCCTTCTTAGTTTTATTCAAAAATTTTATATCTAATGTGTGTTTTATAAGTTTTTTTTTTTCACCCTCTCTTTGTTTAATCACATTGTAATTTTAATTTTAATTTTTTATTTTTTTTTATTTTTGGAAAATTATATATCAAAATAAATAAATTTTATTAAATGTTATTAATTATTAATAAATAAATAAATAAATTACATTAAAAATATTGATTTTCTTTTTGTAAATTAGAACAAAAAAAAACTAGTTTTTAATATAAAAATAATTTTGTTTAATAAAGAAGCAAAAAAAAAAAAATATTGTAAAATTAAAATTTCTGACACAAGAAAAAAAAAATCACGTTTTTATTTTTCTTTTTTTTTAGTTTTTTTTTTCTTTATTTTGATTTTGTTTCTATAATAGCATTATTTTTCCTGTTTTTATCACTAATAACAAACAAGTTTTCTTTAAAAATTAATATTTAATAAAATGTAAAAAAAAAAAAAATTATATAATTTTTTTTATTTTAATTAATTTTTTTTTTTAATTCAATTTGTTTATATTTTCTTAATTTTTTTTTGTATTTTCTTTTTCAAATAAATTCTAGACTAAAAAAAAATAAATTTAGAACAACCTCACCATTATTATTTCCACAATATAAAATTAAAATAATATCAAATAAAATTGCATAACAATAGGCGTTAATTTTAATTTTTATTTTTCATATTCCTTATGTGCTTAATATTTATTTAATTTTAAAAGACTTGTATAATATGAACCTGTATACTACATAATATGAATAATATGCTTTGGGTTCATTTTGTATTAGAGCATTATAATGCTGCGTATAATGCTGAACTAAAAAGCAAAAAACATTTTCAAATTGAATATTGTAAAATAATCTCTCAAAAATCTTAAAAATTTTAAAATCTGTCATCACCTCTTCTTATATAACAATGACATTTCCCGTAAGTTACTAAAAAAAAAAACAAAATTTTAAATTTTACTATTTAAGCAAAAAAAAAAAAAAAAATCGCATAAATTGTTTAAAAAAATTTTATGTTTTCATTGTTTATACCAAATTTTTCTCATTTGTGTATTATAAAAAGTATGGTGTCGGTTAATTATTTTACATTTTAATTATTTTAGAATATTTCTGTACCAACTAGCTAGCTATTTTTTATTGTGTACCAAAAATACCATAATTGTACGAATGACAAACTTGTTCTATAATTTTTTTTTTCGAAAATGACAGCAATTAAGGCAAAAAAAAAGAAGTAGAATATTCACTGTTTTGTTTTTGGGGGACAAAAGTGGCGCACCTAGTAAGAAAATCAAGGACTAGCTATTTTGAATTTTATTTATTATGGTTTTTTATTATTGTTATTTAATGCATATTTTTAGGGGTAAAATATTTACTTTTTTTTTAATGTATGACATTCATAAATTTTTATATATGAAAAAAATTATTAAGAAAAAACAATATTTTAAATAAACGTCTTAAATATCTTTAAAACAACAAAAAAAAAAGAAAAACAAACAAACAAAAATATTCTTTCGTCCACATAAATTTTTTTTGTTTTATTTTTTTTTTTTGTTTTTTCGTTTTATAGATGGGAACACGAGCACAGAAATCTAAAAAGGTAAAATAAAAAACAAAAAAATTTCCAAAAAAAAAAAAAATCAAATTAATTACATTTATAAATTAAAATAAAAAATCTTAAAAAAAAAAAATGTTTATTTTAAAAATAGAATGTTTTTTTTTTTTTTTTTTTTTTGAAATATATTTAGAGAAATGAATGCATTTCGTGTTATGTTTTATATTGAAAAATATTGCATGAAATAATTTAGAATTTTTTAAAAATAATTTAAAAACAAAAAATTATTTAATTAAAAGAGAAAATAAACCATTTTTTTTTTTGTAGAAAAAAATTCGAAGCAAACATTTCATGTTCCGAACATTTCATATTCTGTAATATTATTCCAGGAAAGTTTTCCAAATGACGTCTCATTTAATAAGATTAAGAAGTTCTCATTTTATAAGCCATGTTCATATATTAAAATAATTGTTCTCTAAAAAGTTGATTGCTATGTTCACCCCTGGCCTTATTATGTTATATTATATTTTAAAATATTTAATGATATTCATTTTATTTACGCTAGATGGCATTATTATCTCATTTAATATTAATGCAATTATTTTAAAATAATGTGAATAATTAGAATAATTTACAATATTATTCCTTATCATGTCATATAATCGAATGTAAGAAATTGTCGTTATGCATTTCCTTTAATATTTATTTTTTTTTTAATTTCTGACAACATAATTCACATAAATTGTTATTAAATATTATAAAGATATAGTATATCTAGTGACCGTAATTGATTTAAATTAAGATTAAAGAAATTTAATTGAATTTATGGTGAAAAATATGCGTATTCACAAATAAATTTTACACAACATCTTAAGATTTCTAAAAAAAAAAAAATAAAAAAAAAAAATAAAATCTTATGGAATCTTTAATTTGTACTCGTATGTTTGAATTTTTGTAAACTCTTCTACAACATATTTTTATTCAAAAATGTTCCCCTGATCGTTCTCATTACTTCGTTTAGAAAATGTATAACAAAAATATCGAAAACAATGTTAATAGGTTTATGACAAAAAAAAACATATAATTTTTAAACAGCTGATATATATGGGGGTATCTAAAGAATTAAAAAATAAAAATGCAATAAAAATTATTTTTACATTTTTTTTTTATTATATAATAATATAAATTACAATTTATTGTCCTTACTAACATATAGGCAATATAATTTATATTGAGCTATTAAATAATTATTTTTGTTCAAATCTCTTACAATACTACATAAAATTTTTTTTTTAGTATATTATATTCTTATAGTACAATAACTCAAATATTATTGTATGAGAAAATAATTTGGCAAAATTTCAATATTTTTTTTTTTCAATAATTCTGTTCCACTGACCTTTTTTCTTAAATTATTATTATAATATTATAAAAATATGTACGTATATTTTCAAAGTGAAGGAAAATTTTCAATTTAAAAATAGCTGTAATATTGAATTTTTTTCGAAAAGAAAATATAAAAGAAAAATATAGATTTTCATATATACATACAATCATGTATACATAGATTTTTATTTTCGAATAAAATATACGATCTCTTTAAGTCAACAAAATTATTTAATAAGACCTCATGGATTTTGATGATATACTAACTCAATTAGAATTAAAAATACCTTATGACAGTAGAACAAATCTAGTATATTAATATTTATATAAAATAAATATATTATAATGATTGCTAACTAAATTATAACATCAAATTTTATTACGATATTGAGTACTACAATAATAAAAAGTGCAAAATGCCGCGTACCTGTAGTTAATAACATAACATTTTTGTTTTATTTTTGTATCACCATAAAATTTCCTATTCTGTGCTGAGAATTTAATTTTTTTTTTTCCTGTTCTCAATTAATAAATTCTCATCAATTTTAAGAGAAAAATTAAAATTTATTAATAATCATTATAATTTTTATGTAGGAGCATTGTTTATTTTTCTTTTTTGTTCCGGAATGAATTTAATGAGTAGTGTTTAAAGTATAAATAAATAAAAAAAAAAATAAAAAAATAAATAAATGAGTGAAAATAAATTTTTAATTTTATTTTTTTTTATAATGAGTGCTTTTCAGTAGGTAAATAATAATTATAATTTCATTATATAATATTTTATAATTAAATAAAATCAAGCATGCGAAAATTAATTTAATATAACAAAAAAAAAATTAAAATCTTCTAAAAGTACAGTATTCTTTTATACATATAAAATTTTTTCCAATTAAAATCAAGAAAAAAATTTGAATAAATTAAATTTAATGGTTAATTTTAGAAAAGATTTAAAAAATTATCTAATCTAACTAAAATACTTCTTATTCTTATAAGTTGATCAATAACCTTAAATATACTACCCTAATCATATTATCAATAACGTAAACGTAACGGTAAATTCCCGAACAATTTGTAATTAACTACACCCCTTGTTTGAAAGCTTATTTTATTAGCTTCAAAATACTTAAGTCAAAAAATTAGAAAAAAGTAAAACAAAAAAATAACAATTTCCTTAGACTTAATCAGATATTGACCATTTCAGATAAAATATTGACAATTTATAATTGGTACACCAATTGTTACGCCCAATTAATTTAAAATGTAACATCTATCAAAAATCAAGAGTAATTTAATTTATTTAAGTTAAATTCATATTGAAAATTCTTTCATTTTATTCATATTTGTAGCAGTATAGTGAATGAATGATCTATTTTCTGAAAATATTAAAATATCAATAATTGAAAAACATTAATCTAGTTATTCTTTTGAAGAAATATCTAAAATTTACAACTTAGTTGAATCTATTATAAAACACAAAATTCAAAAATAATGGATCACTAGAAGAAAACATTAAGAAAAGAGGTTGCATTTCAAAAATAAATTATAGAGATTCAAGAGCTCTATCTTCTGTTACCAAAAAAAAATTAATTACACTGTGTTAACCTACATATCCGAATATTTACATATATAAATTATGCTTATTTTTACTTAAATGTTTTAAATATGAGAATATTTTTTTAATATATTCCTGTACCAATTAATAATAGTTAGGATGATAGTATACACCTTTTAATTAGTATAATTTAATCGCTTGAATTCCCACAAATATTTGAAAACCATGTCTCCTAATTGTTTCCAAATAGTTTGTGAATATAAGAAATGTATCTGCAATATTAAAATTAAATATTACTGAACAAATACTCGTTCCATTGCAATATGAGCTCCCCATTTCCAAACTATTTTCAATAAACAAAACTCAAAAATTTCCGAATTGAAAATATTTTAATCGTATTGTATTTAATTACCTTTTCTAAAATTTCGAATTTTCAATAATAAAATTTTAATTTGGAAAAAAAGACAAATATTTTTCAATGATTTTCATTTTTCATTTTATTTAAAATTTTATTTTAAATTTAATAATTTTAATTATTTGTTTTAATTTTACTTGTTTTTTTTTGTTTTCTTTAACTAAAAGTTTTTTGTTTTTATTATTTTATTTACACATATACATGCATATATTAATATTAATATTATATATACCTTTTTGATTATTTTTCTTGTACAATAATAATTAAAAAATAAAAAATTTAGTAAGTTTATAGTATCCTTTTAAATAACCTAATAATAAAAAATAAAAAAATAAAAAAAAAATACAACATAAACAAACAAAAAGGAAAAAAAAAATTAAAAAACAACAATTCACAACATAAAAATATTTAGCATTCCATTAGGGGATAAAAAAAAGATAACAAAAGAACGGAGAAAAAAAGGACTTATCTTAGTCCTTAATTTTTGTATCCTTTATTATATTATAAATGTATTAAAACGCAATGGAATTTAAATTATCATTTTATTTAACAAAAATACCAAAACACAACCAAACCAAAAAACAAAAAAATCCTGAAATAAAATAATTTAAAAATTACAGACGACAAGCAAATAATCTCACATATTACAAAGAAAAAACCAACATACCAAAACAAAACACAATAATAATACACACAAAAAAAAATGGCAACAAAATTACAATAATAATATTAACAACAATAGCAATAATAACAAAAATTAATATTGAATTAAAGGATCTTCTTCTTCTGCATGATGATAACATTAGAGATTGTTCCTTTTTTTTTTTGGTTTCTCTTATTTTTTCTCTTTCAATTTCTTTCTGCTTGTTTCTCTTTTCGTTTTTCATTTTTTTTTTTAATTAGGGGTAATTCTATATTAAATAAAGAAATTTCATGAATTTTTTTTTTTTATAATTTTTCATAAATTTAATCAACTAATATCTTTTCTCTTTTTGTTTCGGGATAAATAATTTATCAATGAAAATTTATTGATAAGAAAAAGAAATATAATTAAAAATTAAATAATAATATTAATTTTAATTCAATTGAAATAAATGAATTTTGTGGATATTTAATTTCAATTAAATTAATTAAATTTTGATTCTAGTAAATTTTTATGGAGAATTACAAGTGTAATCAAAGAGAATACATTTCTTTTTCTCTTAAAATTGAGTATTATCAATTACATTTCAAATGTAAACTCAATATTAAAGAGATTATTAGAATTTAATTGAAATTCTCTCGCAAATAAATTTTAATATTTATTATTCTGTTATATTTTATTTCACTTTCTTGATTACGCATTATTTCAGAGAATTTTTAAAAAATTTCTTAAAATTTATTGATTTATGAATTTAATTTGTAAAATTTATTGTAACTTTAATACAATTTTTAATATAAATCAATATTTTATAGATGTTAAGGATGTTATCAAATTTGTAACAATTACAAATACTTTGTAATCCGAAACTGTTCTAATTTTATATTTTTAAAAATGTCCCTTTCATACTGTTTTCCAATCCAAATTTATATTTTTATTTTCAAAAAAAAAATTCAAAATTTTATAAAAAAATATTCTTAATTCTTTTATAATCCGACGTTGGTTTTAAATGGAATTACCTGCATTTTCTTTTATCTATTCACTCTTATATACTCTTTTATTTTTATGTAATTTAAATATTAGAATGTATAATAAAATAAGTAATAAAAGTAACAGTAATAATATGATAAAAGCAAAAACAAAAAATAATAGTAAACATAAAAAAAAAAGGTAATACTGGTTTTGTTTTAACTAATATATTTTTCATATATAACGCTTATATAACAGCATAATTTTTAACTGCTTTCATAATTTTATTATGATTTATTAATTTTATGATTTTTATTTTTCTATTTCATTTCTATACTATTTATACATAATATAAGAATAAATAAAAGAGCTAGAAAAATTAAATAGAAAAAAAATATATTTTTTTGCTTGAAAAATTTATTAAAGCTTTTTCCTGCTTTCTTATAGCTATATACATTTATTAACTATTTTTAAATTTTATATTAAGTAAAAGTAAAATAATTAATATAAGGAAATTTATATATTACATATATATTTTGTGTTATATAAGAGAAAAACTAAAAAAAATTTTTTTAATAATTTAAAATTAAAATTTGTTATTAATTTTAATTTTAATTTCTTAATTTTTCTCTACAACAACAATATGCAACATTTTATTGTATATATGTATAAATATACATGTATATAGGGCCAAAATGTACGTGGCTATACACCAATCAATCAAGGACCTTTATTTGATGAAGATCCTGGGATTATGTCAGAAGTGGAAACAGCTAGTACAGGTTTTAGGCGAGGTAATAAACAAAGATCATCATTACCAGTTGTAAGAACACCATCGAAAACATTAGAAAGGCCTCTTGGTAAGTTTAAATTGTTCATAAAAGCATTATAAGTATTATTTTCTGAAAATAAATATATATAGATATGGAAATACAAAAATATTTATCAATCTATTCAAGATCCCATCCTATTGATCCCAAGATCCGTTTTTCCCATTAAGTTGCAATTGAATATCAAGAAAAATATTTTTTGTAATGTTTTAATGAAATAATAACCGACTATGGAATTATTTTCAGTAAAAACAATCCAATTAAAATTTTTTAATAAAAATCCGTACAATTTTCATTTTATCTTTATTTTAAAGTTCGAACTTACCGCTATATTTGTTCATAAACTCTAAACAAAAGAAAGATTAATAAATTTTTCGAAATAAAATTAAATTCTATATTAAAGCAGCTTTAATATATCTCCGAGACATTGCATTATGAATAATATTATATAAAATTCAAAAATAATTTTATAATAAGATATTACAAGGAGTTCATATATTATTTAGGTTTAGTATTTTTACAATACCGTTCCGAAACAAAGAGGGCACTATTACCAAATGAAATAACATCAATAGATACTGTTCGAGCATTATTTGTACGTTCATTTCCACGTCAACTAACAATGGCCTATTTGGAAGGACCTAATGTTAAAATTTATATACATGATGCTAGTAAAGATATGTTTTATGAATTAGAAGATGTTAGATCACATTTACGTGAAATACGTGATCGTTCTGTATTACGTTTATTTGAATCAAATGAAGTTGCAGCACCACAAGTATTACCAGGTGGTCCTGGTATACCACAACCATTACCACAGCCACAACAAGGGCATTGGGATCAAGATCAGGTAAATAATGAAAAAAAAAATTTTATTCTAAAAATATTTTAATTTCTATCTCTTTTCTCTTTTATTTATTTATTTATTACAGAGTTATTTTAGTGAACCTGAATTTGACTCTGAATATCAACATCAACATATCCATAAATCAAAGGTAAGAGTATTAATCATTTAGTTGAATAAAATAATAAAAAAATAAAAATTAATTTTTATAAAAAAAGAAAAACATTTTTTTTTACTTTTTATTTTAATTTTAAAAACTTATAAATACACAATAAATGTTAATGGCTCTTACAATAATTAAAAATAATATTAAAAAATAAAAGAAAAAATAGAAAAATAAAATGTGAAAGGTTCAAAATTTTTAAATAAAATTTTCTGGCTTTGTTTCTAAATATTTGTTTCTATGTTTTCATTTAAATTAGAATTTATGACTTAAGAACTACACACAAAAAAAAAAAAAAACACCTTCAGAGAAATGAATTTTGCTATTGATGTGTTTTGTGATAGCAATAAAATTTTGTTGCATCAAATCTATTTTTACAATGGAATGCAATGGAATTATTGTAAAAAAAAAAATTATGAGTTCATCATAGTTAAAATAAATTAGAAATAAAAAAAATTTAAAACAAAAAATGAAATGTGAAAAATTTACAAAACAAAAATAATTGGATCATTTGGCATCCCTTCCATATTTGTTTAAAATTTTTGTTTTTTGTATTTTAAATGCACAACTCATGTTTATACAGCGGATGTATATGATATGATATGATGAATGAGAGCAAGAACGACTAGAGCTTTTGCTGTGCTATTTTTTTTATATATAATTTCTCTTTTAATTGCAATGTATTATGTATGTATATATGTAATAGAATTTAAAATTAAGAAAAATATGAAGTAAGTAGATAGTACAGCGTGGTAAACAATAGTACAAACGATTTCTCTTCCTCTACATTTCTATTATTTCCTACATTATGTAATTTAATTTAATTAAAGAAAATTATTTTAATAATAATACAATAATACTTGGATCATTCTATTTTATACATACATACACACCTACATAATAATTAATAGTATAATTATAATACAACAAAAAAAAAATATAAGGTTTGTTTATTTTTCTTTTCTAAATTCTAATGAGAGAGAAATTTTAAAAATAACCACAACCACCCACACTTCTTCCCTTAAGTGTACCATCTTGTATTGTTTTAGCATCATTCCATGCAAATACAATTGCTCCTTTAAATGGTTCTGAATCACATGATGTACATAATTGCATAACAGCTTTAACTTCTTCTTCAGCCGGTTCTTTGTCATGTTCTTTAATTTCATCTTCAAGATTTGATTTACTATCTAAATTTTGTTTAAATGATAAATGACCGAATTTAGCTAAACCTTGAAATTCATAACCATGTGCTAATAATGTATCATCAACAACTGAACCATCGTTAAGCATAACAAGACCACGTTTTGTTTTTGATGCCATCATTGTATCACGTTTTCTAATAGTTTTTGTTTTATTATTTGTGCTACTACTAGTTTTGGCAACAGTTTCTCTCTTAAAAACAAATCTAGATGTATTTGGATTTGGATCGAATAATAATGAAGATGATGATGAACCTGATGAAGATTGACTATTAGGATTTAATGAAGCTGATGATGTATCAGCTGGAAATTGTATTGCTGATGAAAATTGTGCTGATGGTACACCACTAAAACTATTTGTTGATATTGAAGCAGGCTGAGCTGCATGAATATATAATGTAGGTGTTTGTTGTGATGGTTGTGGTTGTAATGATACTGAACTTAATTGTGATGATAAAATTGATCCTGATGGTCTTTGTCCAATACCATTTGATGCTAATTGTTGTGCAATTAATCTTGAATTTGTATGAAATTGACCATTAATAAAATTTGTACTTATTGTTGCTTGTGGTGAAACAACACCACCGCCACCACCACCACCTTGTATCAGCGGTAATGATCCTCCTATTAATTGTGATGGTACACCTTGTACAGATGGTTGTTGTTGATTTTGTTGTTGTTGTGCTGGATTTGCTAAATTAATTCGAACACGTGTTGGTATTTGTCCATTTGCTAAATTTGGATTCATTGGTAATGGTGATGGACGCTATTTTAAATAAGAGAATGCAAAAAAATTTTTATTTTTAAAATATACACATGTGCAATTAGTAAAAATATAAATTAATAATAAATGAAATTATGCAATATATAAAATTACATTTCTTGGTGGTGGTAGTGTTGTTGTTGTTGCAACTCCATCATGATTAAAATGATGTACATGATGATGTTTATGATCACGATGTGCTTTACCAGCTGATAGTGCTACTTTATAAATTTGTAATAATGTGAATTCAAAATGTAATCCATCTGCTATATGACCAGTTATTGATGGTCCACCTGTATATAATAATCCATGTGCTGGTATATGATATCCGACCAACTGTAATCGACAACATTTTAAATTCAATAAATTATTAAACAAGAAATTAAATAAAAATATTTGCAAAATGTAAAAAATAAATTTTTTTTAAAACAAGTTTTATTTCTTGTTTAATTAAGTGACACGCTAACATAATCTGTGGTAATCAATTATTTATTTCCTAAATTTAAACAAGTTTTCTCTACCTCTTCCTTTCCATTATGAAGAAATTCCGAATTTTGACACACAAAAATTTTTATCATAAATGCTTATAGGATAACTAAGTGGTTTTTAATTAATGGAAAATGAAAAAATTTTCCAAAAAATTAAAAAATTTTTTTTTACTCTCAAAAGTTCATTAATCTTTATTGATCAGAAAATTGAAAAGTAAAAAATCTCATAACCGCATACTAAGTGAGCTCATATTATGACGATGATGCAATATAGGCATTTGTGTGCATAATTAATAATTATATGTATATGTGTAATACGTATATGAATTACAAAAAATGAATATAAATGAAAAATTGTATTCATCAGTCACTCAGTTATCATACCATTGCAAATTAATCGTTTTAAATTTCCCGTTTCGCAAAACTATATACTTATATTACAACAATAAGATGAAACAGAAAAAGAAAAGTAAAAGAAAGATAAAAATGGCAATAATATAATCAAAATAATATTATAGAAAATGAAGAAAACAAAAATAAATAAAATCACTTGAAACCATACTTGAATGATGTCTCAATTATAAATGCGATTTACAATTCCAATATGCCACATCGTTGGACTCACTTATGTATATACAAAATGTTACACTATACAAATTGCAATAAATGCAATGGAATGCAATGGAATGCAACGAATCAGAAAAGAAAAAAAGTAGAAACTCTACGCTTCTTTCTTTTTCAATTTTTTTTCTTCATTTATTTCAATTTGCATACTATTTACTTTTATGAATATGCAAAAATAAAAAAATAATAATAAAAATAATAATTACTGTCACCAAACTCTTATGCTCTTATATTACTTTTACCACTTTTATACAACACAATAGATAAATAATAAGCGATTTCATAAAAGAGAAAAAGAAAAATTTGCATAATAGAATAAGGCACAAGTGCTTGCTTATACTGTTATATGAGAATATTACAAACAGATATAGTACAAATAAAATAGGGTAGCCAGAGGTATAATAATTTCAGACTAAAATTATTTTATTGTAATTTTTTATTATTTGGATTATTTTAAAAAAAATATTTAACCCAGAGACACAAAGTGTAAAACAGGAAATTAAGTGAAATTATATAAGAAAAATAAATTATTTAAAATGCGCAATATGGTGATTATAAAGGAATACTCGTAGTTAAAAATCAATGGAGCATTTTTGATTTTATATATTTTCCATGAAGCTTGGACTTATATCATAAACTATACTTCAGAGAATGAGATAATACAAAAAACTTCATTCCTTTAAGGCCATATATTGATATTCGAGATTCAGACACAAGCTTATCCATTTTTTGTCACATTGTGAAAGTTTGGTAGTTTCTCAACCCTATTTTTTATCATATACATATTATGTTTATGTAATTAATATACTTTACATCATTGCAATATATTTTATGAAAATGGTCATAGATTGACACTTTTATATTTTTATTGTCCCTGATTAATTTCATTTGCTTATACTCTTTGTGTCATTTTTCACCCAAAACTAGACGTTTTAATTAAATGTAATATTCAACATCTATTATTATAAAAAGTTCAAAGTATTTTCTACTCTTAACATATTATTCTGTTGAAAAGAACAAAATTGAAAGATCAAATTTAAATGGCACTATTATATAAAACACTCTATTTTTAATTTTATTGTATTCTATTCTTATCATCTTGTAGAAAATTAATAAAAATTATTGTTAAATGAATTATTAGTGCTTTAGTATTGTGACCAAATTCAATGGCAATTGTACATTAGAAGAATACGAAATCAATGATTACAAAAATTGAAGCAAAAAAATGTTAATTTTTTATATAAGTTTGCATAATTGTTATACCTTATGTAATATGAAACACATCTATAATATTTCTGGGGTAATGAAGCAATTGTATAAATGGACTTTAGAAATTAATGAAATCTCATTATAATGCGACTTCTTTGTGAAAACCAAATCAAAGTGATAATAAGACAATCAATTGAAATTGTAAAATTTTGAAGTGAATCACAAACTTAATAAATTCTTTAATTCAAACAAGGAATATTTAGTAAACATATTAAGCTCCTAAAATTTCTACAGAAATATCATATAAAATCCTCTGTTAAATATAATGGTCTTAAGATTTAAATTATTAATCATAATGGTCTTAAGACAATGGTCTTAAAATAAAAGGAATTAATTTTTCAATTCGGATTTTATGTCACGCAAAGAATAATTATTATTTTTTAGTATTATTTTTGAACTCATTTTATAGTGCAATACCACTTCAAGTACCTACACATGTTTCGTACTTATCTTAAATTAATTAATTAAAAAAATGATATAAGGTTAATATTTTTAATGATATTTAAATTCTTAAGAAAAATTCAACTATTATTTTTCAAAAAATAAATCGTATACTTTTTATTCTTTGACATTTTTCATCACAAATTTTTCATATATAATAAAATAAAGGTCATTTGAGTTTTCTTTGAAATTTTTTCTATATTTATACACATTTAAACTGTTCGTCCTTTTCCAACTATTAATTTGTTTTTTATTTCTCTTTAAATTATACGTAATAATAAGAAATGAAAAGATACTTTTCTTTATTTTGTTTAAACGAGGCGTTGTTATTATAAAGATATTGTCCTTTAAAACAAAACGAAAAAAAAAAATCATTTAAAATTCTAAAGTTTTTAAAGCATGGAAAATAAATTAATTATCAGAGATACAGAAAATCTTTAAAAGATTTCGTTTTTGTAATTTTCCGCCTTCTATGAATTTTCCTTAAAAAAAATAATATTTCTGTACATATTTACGCAATATAAAAATGAATCCAAGGTTGAAGGAAATCATCATACCCTTTTTCATTTCGCTTCTATGTATATAGCTTCTTTTTCTTTGATTTTATTTCATTTCAAAAGTCAAAGATGAGAAAAACAAAAAAATTAATTTTTCTTTCCACAATAATTATTTCAAAATATTAAAAAATTATTTAATATGAATTTGTTTTTAAAATTTTAGTTGAGAGAATTAGCGTAAATGAAGTTGTTCTAAATTATCCTCAAATATTATGTAAAAAATTATGAAATCTAATACTACAAACGAAAAATATAAATACTTAACAACTGTTATACGAGAAAAAATTTTTTTTCCAAAAATTTTAAATCCTAAAGTGTGACAAATTCTAACTATAAAATTGTTTTTATAAAAATTTATTTAAAAATTTACGTTGAAAATTTAATTTAAAAAAATTGTCACGAAATTTAGATTTACGATATTTCAAAATTTAATACTAATCGGATTATTTGTCAAAAACAATAAGTTTTTTAAAGACAAATAAGTTGCTTCTTATTATTGAAAATTAAAATCAAAATTATTGAGATTTAACTATACGTGGAATTAAAAAAAAATTTTTAAATATTTTCAAAAATATTGCATATTTTTAGGATAACAAGTATATAAATCTGATTATTATCGCATTTGTATAAGATAAATTTGATTTTAAGAGATAGAATTATTTTATTTTGAAGATAAAATCTAAAATTTTAAATATTTTCGAATAATTTTCATTCTTTTTTAAAAAATTTCTTATTATTTTATAGAGGATTTCATTGAGTAAATATCAATTGAAAAAGAAATTTATTGATTAGAAAAAAATTGAACTGAAAGTGTTTGTATGTTTCTGATGAAGTCACTTGAAATGACGATATTTTTTCTGACGATGATACTGTGCACATTTCCTTCTCATTTTGTATACAAAACTCTGTAATAATTAAAAAAAATATATTTTAAAAATTCTAAATTTTTATTTTAATACACCAAATTATTATAATTATTTTGTTTAGAAATGTTTCAGTCAGAATATTTTTCCATCTATACAGCAATAAATATTTTAATAAAGAAAATAACACTTTTATCTTTCTACGACACACAACTTATTGAGATCAAACTGCATAGAAATGTAATAGAAAAAGTTGAATAATTCTATTTCTCGCGCACTAATAAATTAAAAAGTTGAAGGAAAATATTAAAGAAGAAAAGAAAAAATAAATAAATAAAAGGTTTTTCCATCAAGTTGGATTTTCACCTACTTTTCTTTCAGTTCTACACCTTTACATATAAAGTTTTTATTCCTTCATTTAAAATTCAAAAATGAAATTTATATGCGTACATTTACACTTACAAACATTTTCCAATATTCTCTTATGATAGTCAAAGTTTCTTATCAATGACAATTTGTTATACAAAGTAAAGAGAATTTTATTTTAATGCAAAAACAAAATTTATATTATTTTCTTTTACAAAAACTTTATTAAAATTTTTGGGTTTCAAATGGGATAGTGATGCGTTATATGCTGTTGTATGCCGTTAACAGCACTCAGCCTCTCCTATTCAGTTCCTATCCTCACCTTCGCGAGGTGAAACCTGTTAACTTGAGCAACCAGCATGAACGATTGGGTAACCAACCCCAGTGTAGTAATCTGGTCAGGAACAGACGAGGAAGGAAGAAACGGTGCTGCCTTGTACTTCACGAGATTGGGCTCTCAAAGGCTAGGAGACGAAAACTCCGAAATTAAATGACCTGGTCCTCCAAGTTGGGGGTTGTTCGTGCGGCTAACAACTGGACAACGTGAAAAAAATACTTGTTATGGAATCTCACAATGAGCCTCGGATATTGAATGGAAATTTTGGAAACCAGACCCGGAACCGTCCTAAGGATAATGATTTGAAATTAGCAACTTGGAATGTAAGAACTATGTTACAAGTAGGTAAAATGCAAGAAGTGGCAGATGAAATGATTAAATATAAACTTGA